GTAAACGTTTTCTTTAAGTTATTCATCCATCACTTTTCCTTCATTCATTTTTTCTTGCCTCGTGTTACTTAAACAACCACAAAAGAGAAATGAGACATTTACAACTTCCAAGCATGTCTGATGAAATTTGTGCCTGTGGGCAAGTTGCCTGTTGTGTTTATTTGATAGATCAACGTAAAGTAGATTGCATTTGAGTTCGGTTAGCCTTTGGCAGTGAATATTCAACACGACTATCTCAAACTAGTTACAACAGTTTTTTTGTTTAAACCTTTAAAACACACGATTTCGGGTAAAAGGCCACCAACTTTGACACAAAACGTGAAATCGAGTGACATCTTAAATTAATCAACAGCTTGCGGTTTTCTGTCAATGTTGCATGTTTTTAGGATGTCTGGTCCAAGTTTGACCAGAACTCACTATTCGCTAAATCAAAATTTTCCATGTAATATTTTCATACAACATTGTAGCCCTTACCATAATTGGGCAGTGGAGAGAGATATTGTCAGTGATTGTGAGTTGTGGGCAATAAGGCACCCAAGTTTGAAATACTGACTAAAGCCAAAAGAATTTCTGATTCTTTGGTCAGCCGGTGCATTTGAGATTTGGCTTGTGACTTTTTGCATGCCATTCTTTCGGTGAAATTATGATAAAAACAGCATATTTTGCATTTTGTTGTAACTTACCAAATTTTTGTGGTTTGGGGTTCTCGGAATGTACACAATGGGTCACATTTCAATCACTATTTTATAATTCTACATTGTAGTTGTGAAAGAAGCCTACAATTCTTCATTTCATTGAAGTAGCCCAGTATCAAGTAATCAGATAAACCATTGTTTGAATTGTCAACTACTGTTCATATGACATTTTCTTCATCATACGTCTGCTTAAAGTTGAACATTATTGAGTTTGACTCATACTTTAACAACATACGATCAACCCTGGGGCTATTCACTTTATATTTTTTTCTTAATGTATGCATAGATAGGTCATGTATTGTACTGTGGATGTGAAACCAATGAAAGGATTGTATTTGTACAGATGGGTGGGAGCTGACTGATTAAACCACTGTTCAAAGACACATATTTTCACATTTTATTAAATGTAAATTTCCTGTTCTTTGTCATAATTTGAATCTTGTACATGTTGAAATGGGGATTTAAGTGAGTTAATGCTTAGAATATACAATGGACAAGGCCCCTCTAAAATACTTACCACCTTCAGTCTTTATTATCCTCCATTAGTTATTCTTAATGAGCAATAGGGCAATGCATTGTCTGTTGTGATTTTAAGTAACATTTGCCAGAGCCCTTCATAAATCACAATACCTAATAGATTAATCTTAATCCATACAGAGTAGCCTGCCCTTAAACAGCATAGCTATGATAAATGAATACTCTAACATAGGGCAATGTAGTGTCATGGACAGTCGACTGTTGTTTGCTAGGAACCTTCCAATTCATAAAAACCTTTGGATTAATGACTTAATTAATTAATCATTAGTGAATTGTTCCAAGTGACAACATTTGCATTTTCTGATTGACTAAGCATCACTGAGAACATACAGTAACCACCAAGATATTTTGACTGATATTTCGGCAACAGGAAATGTTTGAATGGCCTTCGTGTGTATTAAAAACCACAATTAATTTCTATTTGTGGTCGATCAAATATATCTGAGTTCATTTAAACATGAGTTTCAGGGTATTGTGAATGTTCTGGTGCAAAACTTAAAGAGTTGAACTATTGAAAGATATTATCCAGCTTGTTTGATATACACTCAGTCTCATATAATAGTTCAAATGTTTCTTTTTCTAAAGAGCTTCAATTTTTAAATGATGTGGATTTCACACACAAGAAATAAAAATTACTACAATAGTATATTTATATTTCAACCTACTCAACTACAGTTTTATTTAAACCAAACAAGTGCGGTACCAACGTGTAAATTTTACAAACTATATCTTAGGGCTTTTTCTTATCTTAATTAGAAAAGAGTTGAATAGTCTGAACAAATATGGTTAAAGTGTTGAATAAAGACGAAATGAATAAAATAATGTACAAGTATTGGGTGTGTATAAACACTGAATATTGTACGTCCTAACTTTGACATTGACAATATCAGAATACTTAAATAATAAGATTCGTCAAGAGTCACTCGCTGAAGTCTTGGTACAGTTTGCAAATGGGGTCAAAATTGACGTCATTTGAAAAGAATTGTTAAATATTATTGACATTATCGTAAAATTTCTGCCCAGAATGAAAATGTTCAAAAGAATTTGTTCAAGACTGAAGCACAATAGAATCTGCTTGTTTTGTAGGTGCTATCTTGTTTAAAATATACTTGAGATTCTCTAATTTTCCTGAACCAAAAAAACTTGGAAGTTCAGCAGTGCTCATCACATATACTAAGGTTAGGGCGAAAAAATTGGAAAGTCTTCAAAAGGATGTCTTTTTTAAGCATGTTAAAAAGTTACCTTTGCTGATGTAAGCATTGTTTGGTATAAAATTGAATTGATGGTAGTTGATAAAAAATAACAAATTGAGAAATAAAGACATCAGTAATAGAATCAGTAAAATCCCACCCACAATAAAGTTGTGATATAGACAAAACATGGAAGTTGTATAGAAATTAGATTTCATCCAATTAGGGCCTACTTGGGCTGTGTGCTTCAGCTATACGGAAACCAATAAAACCATCCAATCTAATAAATGTCTTCTGCCAAACAATACCCAAGCCATACTGTATGGTATAAAACAACACAGAATAGAGGTGAACAATTTACCACCATTTCTTTTCAATAAAAGTCACTTGTATTACTCATGAGTGGATTTGGGCAATAAAACCTCTTCTATTCAGTCATAACAAGGAGCTTAAGGTGGCTGAATAGAGAACTTCTTTCTTTTTCTTCAACTGATCAATCGCTGGGGTTTTATTTTCTAACTCGCGATTTAAGTCTCTTATATTATTTCTATAAAGAGGGAGGTATAAAGAAAAGAGACGCGGTGATATTGAAGGGCCGGATTTCGATTCACATTGACAAGTTGACGAAGTCCTACCTTGAATATTTATACAAGTTTTCTATTAGTTACTTGTTACTAAGGTGATGAAAAAGCCTGCTAGCACAAAGCTTTAGACCGATTTCCAATACTTAATTCAGTCGACGATTATTGTACACCAGCAAGACCAGTGACATTATTATACGATTGCGAGACTTTCTTCATTAAAAACCAAAATGGCATGTTGGCTTAAAGCTCGGCCTGTGAAACAGAGAGTTGCTTTAGGACGTTCTTCACCCCAGGTGACATATTTTAGTTATTTATTAAGTATTTAATTTTGTGTATTTGATGTCTATAAGCTATTGATTAGTGAGGTTGTGTATTGGTGAAATTGTCGTGGTTTATATTGTGTGGAATAACCTATAAATAGATAGTTATCGGTTATTATACGTACAGGCGTGAAACTATATTTTATTATTTATACTTTCAAAAAGATAAGACTATTTTCACTGAATTGTAATTATCTATCTAACTAGCATACAGACGTTAAAATCATTGAGTAATTAGTAATTAAAAATATTACTGTCGTTAGGCTACTCGGCATGCGTAGGTGCGTTATTGCAATTAGATATATTTCATAACTGTTTCCAATTATTCCATATAAGTTTATCGGTGTTATCTTAATGAGTTTTATACATGTTGTATAGGAAATTAGTATTAATGACTAACTGCATGTCATTTATTAATACTAAGACAGTTTATACTGACATGAGCATAATGCTCAGTTACATTAAGTCTTACAGTGAAAATTAGCTGTAATAGGCTTTTCAATCTCTTAGTTGTTTGCCTATTATAGACTAGTAACATTTTAATACTGAGAAGATTTTTATAGCATGACTTTACAAAAAACTTTCTTTGCATTTTGTCTATTGGAGAATGCTGTATTATATATTTCTTATGAAATAAGTGATAATTTTTTCATAACTTACTGCAGATGTTCACCTGTTATATTCCTTGCCTTGAAAGAGTATGTGGTCTAGCAAAAATTTATTGATAAAGGCTTTATGGGACATCTTATTTTCATATTTCTTGTGTGAAAATTGTAGATGTAAAGGAATTGCAAATTACGCAAAGTAATTGTGATATATAATACTTGATAATTGTGACATAAAACCCTATTAACTCTACCAAAGATAGATCATATTTGTTTTGACATTGAACAGTACTGGAAACACAAGACCGAAGTGACTTGAATATACAAGTCTTTGTTGGAATCAATGATAATCATTGTAAAATTGTTGATTTGGTTTTCTATCTAATTGTTTGCTTGAATGAACAGAAAGAGAAATGTTATGTATATTTAATAAGGCAAGTCTGTAATAGCAGATAACTCTATTAAAAATAGCCATCTTCATACACTCAGTGTGTTTTCTTAGATTGGAGAGTTCAGTTAATTTGGTTCAGGGAACTTATCAATTCCTTATAAGCTCTGGGATGAATACAGAATGTTTTATTCAGTTCTTACAATAATGAACATTGTTTAACATGACATTTGTCTTGATCTCTTTCTTTTGTTTTTCGTTTTGTTATTTGGTCGCTAATGCCATCCAGTTTTCTTAAAAAATATCACTACTTCTTTTCGATTCCTTCTTGCTACTCATGTTTTCATAGAATTTCAAACAATACAGCCAAATTGCAATTGAAAAAGAAAAGATCCAATATAGATTTGAATAGAAAGTTTATAGCATTTTTACATTGTCCAAATACAATATTATATAAATTGATAATAAGATCCATCATGTCTTTAAAGTTGTACCATCTTGCTTTGTTGTTAAGTCTACAACTGAATTGTGCAAAGCAGACACGATGAAATTGATTATAATTGCTCATCTACATTGTTATTATTCTATTGTTACAGCAATTTTCAAATACTCTTAAGAGTTCTTGTTTAATGTAATTCCATTTAAGTAATTTTCTTAACAAGATTCCTGTTCATCTTTCAGATGGTTACCAGAACTAAAAAGATATTTGTTGGTGGCTTATCAGCCTCAACTACAGTAGATGAAGTCAAAAAATATTTTGGTCAATTTGGACCGGTAAGTTCTTTAAATATTATTATTCAGATTAGCTTTCATGTCACATGCTTCCGTCAATTTCAAAAACACATTTCATAAAACCAACATCATCATGGATTAGAATAATGTTAACTGTGAACTTGTTTTCCTTCAAATTTCATACAATATTACTGCTAATTTGAGATACAAACAGCAATTGCACATATATATATATATAAGCACAGACTATCCACACAACAATTATGCCAAAATCAGGTTACATTAGTAAACAGCAATCTTAGATATCCAAATTTTATATTGGACATTTGAATATATTCTATGTACCACTCTGCACCTGGGTGTGTCAACCAGTTCATAGAGTCTGTATATCTGATAATATTATTAGGTATATCCCAGGTTTTATCATCAGTGCCACAATATATCAATCTATCATGCAGATTTCAATGCACATGAAATGAAAAAAGCAGTAATTAGCTGGAGGCAGAGTTTCTAATTAATCCATGTTTATAATTGTTTGTTTATAATATAATTACCCACTGGTTTATAAATCAATAGTTTGCCTCTATGACATTTACATACATCAGCAAGAATACAAAATAAACATTTACACCCATTAAGAATCCAAATCTGGTTTTTACATTGTATATATATATTACATAACGTTTCAACATTATGATCATGTCCAAAGATAAAATTAATAGTTACAATAAATGAGATTATCCATGGAGCAATATGACAAAGCATATACATAGCCTGGATCATTCAAGATGATTTTGACGGAATCCATGATGGCATTCATCCTAAGTGTTTTAAAATCAACCAGATTTGATTCTGAAATAAAATATAATCCCTTTACAAATCAAAAGCCAATATCACTAGATACAATGAACAGCTTACCCAACTACTGGAAGTCATCAACCTAGTTGAATCATAATATATTCCTTTGTGGTCTATTCTTGTCAAATGTACCCTTCCCTGTCAAATTTGACCAAAGAAATTAATAAATTTAACTGCCAAAATATTACAGTGTCAAAAAATAATGTACTCTTTGGCTGTGTTTTTTGTTGAAATATTTTTGTATAAAAGTCAATGTTAGAAGTTAAGATAAAAGGAAATCAAATAAACTCTAATAGAGAACTGTATGGGTTCACAAAGTGCAGAGAGTATGCATTAGTTCATATACAATATAGATTTTACTTACTTCTGTTTACAAGCCACTTATAAAAATCACAGATTATTGATTGAGATTCATTACTTATATAATAGCTCTAAATAGCAAAATCATACATAGAAAAAATATCCAGTAAAATACTGTAAGCTAAATAAGTGGCTATTTGCTATAGGGTTATGTAAATTTTGTTGGCATAGCCAGTCCTTGTTTGGATCAACCGTTGTTAATTTTAAGAAATTGTACCAAAATATGGAATATGACTGTTGTCTGCCAGACGATTAGGTGTTTGAAATCTTTCTCAAGTCAATTGATTTTTTTTATGCCACTGCCAGTGCCTGTCAGATGGAAGCTCCTTCCCCTCCCAGAGACTTAGTGACCTACTTAATTGCAAAGTATTAGGAATGATATTAAGTTATAGAAATATAATAAAAAATTGATAAAAAGTCCACCTGGTGTACTATAAGTATTCATGGTCATAAAACCTATTGAATATAAAATGAAAGTATATTAATATTATAAGTTATGAAAACTTTCTATGAAAACCTGTGAGAAGACATACTAAGGTTTATGTGAATACGTACTAAGGTTTATGTGAATACAGAATAATAAGGGTGAGCGAGAGAAAAAAAGGTTTTCCCAGGCGTAAAGGATAATACTATTCTGCATATTAGCTTTGATAGAATAAGTTGAAAGAGTGTAATAAGTGAATAACAGCTCCACCCTAGTCTTATTAAAGAGTTAGTATGTAATTTAGCTACTGTTTCAATTAATATCTTAACCTAGTGTCATAGTTTTTTTTAATGAGCATTATGATTCACTTGTTTAATAGTTATAAGGAAGGAAAATTAATCATTAATTGTCTTTGAAGGCAAAAAACTGTTATATAGCCTATAATTATATACCATTAATCATGAAATAAGTTTCCTCAGGAAAGATTAGAGCTTTGGTCAAGGATCCAGAAAAGACCAGAGCTTTGGTCAAGGATTCCAGGAAAGACCAGAGCTTTGGTCAAGGATTCCAGGAAAGATCAGAGCCTTGGTCAAGGATCCAGAAAAGACCAGAGCTTTGGTCAAGGATTCCAGGAAAGACCAGAGCTTTGGTCAAGGATCCAGAAAAGATCAGAGACTTGGTCAAGGATCCAGAAAAGACCAGAGCTTTGGCCAAGGATCCAGAAAAGACCAGAGCTTTGGTCAAGGATCCAGAAAAGACCAGAGCTTTGGTCAAGGATCCAGAAAAGATCAGAGCTTTGGTCAAGGATACAGAAAAGACCAGAGCTTTGGTCAAGGATCCAGAAAAGACCAGAGCTTTGGTCAAGGATCCAGAAAAGACCAGAGCTTTGGTCAAGGATCCAGAAAAGACAGAGCTTTGGTCAAGGATTCCAGGAAAGACCAGAGCTTTGGTCAAGGATTCCAGGAAAGATCAGAGCCTTGGTCAAGGATCCAGAAAAGATCAGAGTCTTGGTCAAGGATCCAGAAAAGATCAGAGACTTGGTCAAGGATCTAGAAAAGAACAGAGGCTTGGTTAGGGATCCAGGAAAGATTAGAGGCTTAGTCAAGAATCAGGGAAGATCAGAGGCTTGATAAAGGAGCATAAGTCATTGGATCTTGAGAATGATCAAGTCCCAACGGTTCGGTCAAGGATATCAGTTTAATGACAGAAATATTGGATCTTCCTTTTTTGTTCCTATAGTTCAAACAGATTTTAATTAGATAAAGATTCTATTAAAAGGTTAGAGTATGAGATAAAAAGGATCATCTGTATATATTCCACTAGGTTTGGACAAGGATCAGCTGAATGACAGGATTCTTGAGAACCTAACTGTTATCCTTGTAAACTTCTTTTTTTAGTATCTGAAGTTAGATTAAATGTATATTAAAGGGTTAGAGAGGAGGTGATAATAAATGTTCTATGACAGTTCTAGGCTATAGATAATAAGCCACTTTAAGCTCTCAGATTTTCTCTTGTTCAATGGCAGTTTTTAAGTTAAAATTATTGATATTTTCTTACTGGCTGTAAAAAGAACAAAACATCCAGAGTTGAGATTAACTAATATATATAGTATTGATCCAACTCAAATGAAATTGTCAAAATACATTGGAAGACTACTAGTGGGAATCTAATGCTTTAGATTGAATTTACTCATGTAATGGCACGCTTTCTCTTTTCCAAGCCAAGTGTATTGGGAGCCGGTTTTAATTTCTATCGGAATTTATTCTCACTGTGTTTATGGCTATGGTTATGGTTATTTATGAAATCAAAACAAATCATAGGAACAAGTTGTTTCTTCTTGGCTCTACAATTGGAAATCAGGCAAGACAAAGTGTTATTTCCTTGGCCAGTCCTTTCAAGAATATCCATTTATCTCTTACCATCATTCCTCGATTGCATTGTCAACACTGCTTCAGTGAAAATTACATAAGACTTGTTATATCTCTTTTGACTTTTTGTGCCATTTTGAAAAATAATTTAGTTTGCAATGAGAGTTGGTTGTAAAATTGTAGACACTCAAACAAGGTCGTTTGTTGTATGACATTGAAAACAGGTAATAAGACAATGACCTGACATAACTTTCCTATCAACAACAGACTTCTGAAAGCTTATCAATCTTTCAGTTGGTGCCAGGAAAAAATTTTAAATCAGAGGCGCCATCAATCAGGTCATATGTAGTATGAAATATAACCCAAGTTAAGTCTGGATTTATAAAAGATTACAAGCTATTTGTCTCTAATGATATATCTTGTAGATATTTAATGACATATATAGAGTAGTTCTAGGAATAATCATCAATAATATACATTGATCCCATGTTTTTTTGGCGCTGACGGTTTTTACAAAATAACTACTGAGATTTCAAATGTTTATAGAATAGAACTGCAGAACAAATTTTAATTATTGTGTTGTCAGTCATGGCAAAATGGTTGATATTACTTCTGCTTGTTTTTAATGCATTGATTCAGATTAATATTCTAATTGAAAGCTAATATACAAATGCTGACTGTAGTGTATTATTTATTTGTGAAGGCATTTTACTCTAGGGGCTAACAGTGAAACAAAGTCTATTGAATTATACTATTTTGTAAAATTTCAGATTCCTTCAACATTAGGCTAGTGATTACCACTGTCTAGCGAATTTCCCTCATTGCACACTAGGTGGTATTTACTGTGTACATTAGTTCAATATGGTGCAGACATAATAGTACTTTATTATTTGGTCTTAATCCATGGTCAAAACCAGCAGATTGTATATCTGTTTATGATGGTTGCTCTTGGATTTCATTTAGCTGGTCAAATGTACAAAGCAGCTCTGCTGGTTGTCAAGGGCAAATTTATCAAGAAATGAAAAAGCATCCTAATGAAAAATGTTCCTTAAAAGCTTGTTTTGACCCCAGCAACCATCTTTATATAAAGGGTATCTTAATAGATGAATTAAGGAAAGAATAATATTGATAGATCTGTAATCATGTCAATCAAACCAAACCTCATTACTTATACCACCATCTCTAAATTACCCAGGCTTCACCCTGTTGTTAAAGAAAACAGTTTAAGTGATTAAAGCATTTGACCTATGACCTTGCCAACCCTATCTAAGAGTTAAATGGAATCAAGATATGTAATATTGGTGCTATTTGGCTCTGTAAATGGTAATTTACAAGACTGGTAATGGAATTGCTTTAGGCTGATTGTCAAATTGCAACTTGACTTTAAATTAAGTATAAGAATTAGAATAGATGGTTGGTTTACACTGTTGAGAAGTTGCAGGAGTCTTTGTTATGGTATTAGTACCAACAAACTTTTCACATCTTTATCAAAATTTGACTTGAAAATAAACCAAGATTTTACTAAGAAATGTACTCTTCTTAAATGGAAGAAAGTTTGTTAGAAAAGTAACACATCCATATCAATAGATGACCCTAAACATAACCTCTAAATCTCAACTCTACGATAAACAAATCTCTCGGTTACTAGTAAAAGTTAATATTTGTAATCTACTAGTGGGATAGTAAAACACCGAACTGATAAAACTGAACAAACCATAAACTCCAATCACTGCAAGTTACTATAAATAGACGCTGTCAATATGAAGACTTCTTCCTCCATTTCTATCATGATTGACTCGCCAAGGTCGTTTCCAAGGTCAGATCTGCTCACCTAATCTGGAAGAATTTAATGAAATGGGAGGTAATTTATGATTCACGATTGACAGCTATGATAAAAACAATTTCTAATCATTTTCGATGTTAATATAGAAGGAGATATGACCTTGTGAACTCTCTAGTAGAATAATCATGTTCATTTAGGGATACTTTACGTTCTGGACTGTAATATTGATAACCTACTACACACCAATATCCAGATTAATTTTACCACGGTCAAAAAGATTGGAATTTTTCATAAATCTCGACCGTATCATGACTTCCATTACGAGGAATATACCGTGATTGGATATTGATTGTACGTTATAAATACTGATTTTAACATAGTTTGACGTCTGTCATTTCAGCTAAAAAACGTCTCGCACTAATCAATAGATTTATTACTCAGGGAATTATTGTAATTTTTATTATGCTTTAATCGTAATTTTTATTACTAGAGTAATGATTTCATATTAAATAGTTTTTAACATTCTATCATGAACATAAATATTAACCAGGTGGGCTATTGTTTTACTTAGAGACTGATATACTGATGTTTTTCACTGAATTTGTTACATTGTTGTTAAATAGTATAAAAACAAACAAATACTTCATTGCTGAATCCTAAATATGTTCCAATGAGTAGGCCTAAACATCTTGACGTCCATTTTGTTCTGATATCAGACAAGGTTGGAAATATTCATGAATCAAGATCCCTTGAAAATATTGAAGAATTGAGTAAATTTTGATATCACAGTTGAAGACATGATCTTTTAGGATATATAGCCTTTATTTGATGTATTCCTGTTTAGTATTTGAATATTCAGAAGGAATCAACTGTAATTATGTGCTTCATCATAATTCTTTCTCTGCACCTTGCACTTTATTGATTATCACTTGTGCTATTTTCATGATATTTTTTATTAAGTAGCAATTACTTGGAATCATTAAGCATTCTGATATGGCATTCCAATTATACATTCTTCAACATGTTTAGAATGTGAACTCAAGTTTGTTTACAAATGTCACTATCTCATGACATGGAAAGCCACTCTATCAGAATATTCCTGCTGCAGATTGTAAATTGTGTAGTTTGACATTCGATTTCTCACTTATCTTTTGCCAAACATCAATTACTTCATCCAATCAAATCACTCGCTTCAATTCTTCATCCACAGGTCATGACCTCAACAAGTACTTCTTTCCTCTTGAGTGAAGAGCTAATTAAGGGCAATAACTGCGTATAAACGACATTTGCACCTGTGTAATCGATTATCAGCTTTGATTGAGATCTCTTCACAAGACTCTTATCCAAACCACCTTTATCATAAATGTGTCAAAGTGTTTGATTTTTTGGCAGCAAATGGCCATCTTCACACACTGTTCAGAAACTTCACAGTTTTTCTAATGGTCAGTTTATCGAGTGGCCAGTATCAATTACTGGATTAACAATCATTCAGTAACTGACCACTGAGGCTGAGTGGAACATACTGAAGTAGATATTTCTGAGCTACAAATCCAATTGCAAGAGAGGTGGGAAGTGTTGTTGAAAGCTGACATGAGACAGCTCATGAGGACACTGTCAGCTGCAAGATGGCATTACAAGCTAAAAACTGCAATTGATTTGGAAGGATTTTTCAGTTTGTTTTCAGTCAAATTGTGATGTGATATAGTTTGAGATAACATGTAATGGAGAATATCAAACCGAGGCCACATGTCCTAAAACCTGTGCACCTTTAAGATCTCTCTAAATTAAAAAACAAGTAGACTGATGCCGCAGTTTTCCTCACTTCACACTCCATGGCATTACTCTACTTCAAAAGCCCAGAAAAGTAGAATGATTCATTTTATTTACACAAAAATTGAGACTTGTAGCCTACTTGGCATAATTAGTGTTGCATTTCTAGCTTATCTATTGTCTGTGAGACATATTAAAAGTGCATGTTGTAATGAAAAATATAAGAATCTAATAGAGGACTGGCTGGTATATATATTAAGATGTATAGAGAAGATACTGCCAGTATTTATGACTAGACAAATACTGATCATTCCTTGTTTTATTCATGATTCATTGACAATATACACAATAACAACAATCAATGAAATGCTTTATGTATTTACACTCACACAACTATCAGGTGGTGCACTAGGGGGTTTTGTATTTAACAGGAAGGTGTAGCTGAGGCATGGGAATGACAAGAGCACGGAAATGTAAGTAAATATGAGCCTGATGCAAATCATAACCACAAGTAGTTAGGTTTGATTACAGTAATTAGTTATTGAAGTGATACAGGCTAGACTAATATTTTGTTTATTCAAACTAAAAATCAAGCAAAGATATTTCTGCTCTTCCAGTCTGATTAAAATTATAAACACCATGAGTCCACTTTAT